GAGGCCGTTTTGTGTTTGGTTTCCATTTTGTGTTCGGCTGTTCTTCAGTTACAAATGGTGCATATAACCCGACTTTGTTTTACTTATATACGATTTTTGTTTATTCAAGGGTTGCCGCGGAAAAGAAAACTATTTTAATTATTATTATTACTATTATTTACACTATCCAAATTTCACAATAGAACGCATTTAGTTCGCCGAAGGTAGACTACCCACTTTCAACTTATTCGTTTTCGTTCGATTCTAACACGGTCAAAACGAAAAATGAATTTGTGTAAAATAATAATAATACAAATCGGTACGGGTAACGGCGGGCGCGGAACAGCTAGTACATATTTATATATAAATCTGGTGTCGACGATGTTCGTTCGCGTTATTCTACAAAACTCCTTGACCGAGTTTTATGAAATTGTGTAAATGTGTATTGTTTGGTCCAACTTGAGAGGTAGAATATTTTTTATTCCTATAGGTGACCCTCGATATTTTTTATTGCAAACTTAAGGATTTTTATAGGACAAAAATGTATTTATAATTTCTATGTATGTATGTATGTATGTCTTGAATCTATTTATATGTATCTATGTCTATTGTATATGTACAATATATGTATGAGTTTATTTTATCAAGGTCTACGTATGTATTGTGTCTATGTATATGTACAATCCCGCACTGCAAGTAAATTTAAATTTTATAAATATTTAATCAAATATATTCAGATTCCAAATCATATATTTATTAAACATTTGATACTTACTTTATACATAATTTTAAATATCCGTCAAATATTGCCGAAATATACGTTGAACCTGAAACATGTATTCAACAAACTTTCAAAACTACAAAATTGTATGTAATACACAAATAAGTGAGTATTTCACACACGGAAGTACTTACCAGGCGTTAAATCGACAAAAACGTACGGACACGGGCGAAGATTATAATAACGTCCTTGGTTCGGGAAAAACGGGACGACGAAAAATCGTGGACCATACTTATAGAAATCGAAAAATAGTAAAAAACCTAAGGAAATTATCGAGAATGGAACGGAATAAAAACATTACTATATACTTAATTAATTTTGATTAAAACTGTTCATTTTTACATAGACATTTATTAAATATATGTAAACCTAAATTTATTAAATATTTAAAAACATTTTCGTAATGCTGTAGAATATAATATTTCTTCCCGCAAAAATATAAAGTATACTTATTATAATTATTTATGAAGGAAAATTTAATTTTAAAATTTAGATAACTTTTGATAAATATTATATTAACAAATCATAATTGAATATTTCCCAAATGATTACCATCGGGAAATGCTGTGTGGGATATATGTATGAGTTTGTTGCATTAAGTTCCGCGTGCATATTATATTTATGTATTCATGTATACCTATGTACAATGAATGTATGGGTTTTTTTTTTTTTTGTTATTTCTTATTATTAATACATAATAAATAATAATAATAATAATAATAATAAAATATATGCGACACGATACATGCATACATAAGCACATAAAACTTATAAACAACCCTGTGTCCATACAAGAAATCCTAATAATCGTCTATAAAAAATACATATCAGGATAAAAACAACTCTATCTCTCAAGTCGGACCGAACAACACACGTTTATGAATTTTCATAAAAATCGATTGAGCGGTTGCGGAAATAACCGCGGACGAACGTCACGACACGGGATTCGTGTGTATAAAAATATAATTTATTGTTTTATTAAATTGATAATAAACGTCATTAACTAATACGATATTGAACTCGCGGTCTTCCACAGCTATTGAATTTATCCGTTTCATTTAAAATACGCGATTATCTACGGCCAACCCAATAAGTAATAATCATGCAATTAAAGGCGGTAGATAATGTTAAACGTTGTAAACACTGTCGCGCCTTTCATACGTATACGACCATACACCAGCGAAATGCAGGGAAATGATTATCGGGAAAAGGTCATATGGAAAAATCTGCGCGGCCGGGAAGACAAAAACGTGTCGTTTGTCGTACGTTTCGCCGAAAATAGCGCGCGTATTGTCGTCCCGTGACCCTGCAAAGTTCGGGTGATCCGATAAAAATTCCGACCAAGTCGACGCGGCTCGCGCTACCCTCCGCACGCGCACCGAACACACGCGCCGACCGAGAAAGTTCGATAAAAGTTTTCAAGTGTCTCCTCTCTGGCTCCCTCCTGCACGCCACGTCAATATGATGGATATAAAATATGTGTAATAATATTCCACACATTATATGTATAAGTGCACACCTATGTATAAATTATTTATTGTGCTCGGCATTATAAAACTTGTTGAACCCGACGAAAGTGGCGAACTATGGCGGACCGTTAATTATATTAAAATCCCCCTTACTTACACGCGGTGCGTATAGGTAAACACACGAATAATATAATATTCCGAGATGCCAACACTATACACGTTGACTTTGCGATAAACGCACCCCGGAGTTCGAACATAATTTATAGCGTTTTTCCAAAGCTGGGTGGTAAGTTAACCGATTGTTTTTTATTAAGTTCGTAGTCAAAAAAAAAAAAAAAAATTAAAATAACCAAGCTAAGTCAAAGTTAATTTTACAATATAAATCAGTTCGAGTAACTAAATAAAGTGTTACGCGTTTCGGGGAAAATTACAATTTAGTTAAGTTGAAAACCAATTCTTTCCAGATTATCCTTTTCGCATTATAATATTATACTAGAGGTTTCGATTGAAAACGTGAATATTCACTATAATACGCATGTTCACGTATTTTTGATTCATTCGCGTGAATTTATAATAAAAATAACTGGAAAACAACGCGAAACACGTGAATAATTACAGGCGTACACGGTTTTATTGGAATGTTAATTTCACGTGAACACGTGAAAGCGTGTACACGTTAAATAGAGAGCTCTGTATTACACTCATAATCGTATTATGTACTCGTATACTCTAAAATTTAGACATTTGTAGGCTTTCTAGTTACTGCGCAAGTCTCGTGTGATGCGTATCCCATGTATCGATATATTTACATAGGCCGCATGCCCGTCTTGTTATTTGATTATGATAATCACGTAAACATTTTCGTCGAATAATAAATGCAAAAACGTAGGTACGCATTTTAGATTCTGAGCGGAGCGAGGTGTGTATTTTTTATTATTATTTTTTTACATAAAATTTGAATATAACTTTTTTTAGAAATACCATACACTCTAACAAAATTACCAAGTTGAGTTTATTTATCAAAAGAAATAGGGTCGAGTCACCTCCAATGGCCATTATTTTTTATTTGATTCGTTAATAGCGTAATTTGCAGTGCTGCGGTGGAAAGTATATGGCGTTATGCGCCGCGTATACATTCTGACTATTTCAAATAAACTCCGTGTATCTTCTGAATAAAATCGTACACTCTCTGTTATAGCGATATCACGAAAAATAATTCGCGACTATTTATATATTATGATTATTATTGTAATTTACGGTTGATGACAAAAACTAAGACTGAGGATGAAATAAATTGTTACTGCGGTAAAAAAACCGTTTTATTTTTTTTTTTTTATATTTCGTAGACATTTCACTGCGATTTACCGTAGATTAGACAGTGAACAATCGACAATCACTATGTACAACGCAAAAAAAAAAATATAATCCGTCAAAGTTGCCGTATGGCGGTGGCATATTCATAGTATATTGGGTATAACCGTATACCTTCCTTCATTTTTCATTTGTCGTAAATACGTTGCTTTAAGCCTTGCTTATACTCACAGTAGGGACCCTAGGGTCCGTACCCTACATTTTGGTTTTTTTTTTTTTTACAACTACGTCACTGGTTTAATTTTATGATTATTGCGGGTAATTTTTTAGTTAATATTTATTTCGTGTCCGCCTCACTCCAACCTATTTCAATAAGCTCTACGAACAGACAGACTAAACTTTCCTTTTAAATTGTGTACCCATTTTTCCACCCATCGTCCGTGCAAGTATTTTCTATAAAAATGGTTATAATATTTTGTTATAAAATCTACTAATTCGATAATTTACCATTTATTTTTTAGTGGACATATTACGGTAAGCAAAATCGTATTCTACTGGGCGTCCAACGGACTTTACTATGTGCCTATTCGATTCAACGGCACCTTAAAAAATGACCTGGGTTATTGCTGTGTTCGTTTACATTAATTTGTTTACTGAACGATATCGATTATTACAAGAACACATTGTATCGCGTTAGGTTGATTATTGTTTTATAAAAAAAATATTTTTATTTTACAAAATGGACTGAGAGAGGGGGAAGAGGAATTTGACCCTAGTAATCTTCTAATTTATGAATTTCAAATATATGTACATCATATTTATTTCGTCAGATAATTTCAACAACGCGGTGTACGGTCAATATACGGGTTATCTACTAAACAACACGTTTTTTTTGTTTGCGGTTATATCGTATCGAAAATCAACCGCGTATTATATTCGGTATAATACATAGGTAGATAATCGCTGTTGCGGTGGATGACTTCAGTGTATCGAACCATTATTTCGTCGAGAGCCGGTGGCACCACGATCGATTGGCTTTCGACGTGCGCGCACCCGCGCTCCCGAATAAATATTCACCTGTTTCGCCGATAAAAATAACGAACAAACCGTTGTGCCGGTATCTCGGCGTCGTATCGCCGAGGTTAGTAATCGACACATTACATTGTTTTGGCGGTCCTGACCTAGTAAATAAAAACGACGGCGCAAAACACGACGACGACGACAACAGTAATAATAATAATAATACGAACGTCGGCGTTGCTAAGAAACAGCCGGGGTATTAGTTTTCCGACACGTTCGACTATAATGTGCTACCTATAGGTACCTGCCTGACCTATACTCGGCTAATTGAGAATAATATTGTTTTTGCGCTGTCGCGGGCGCGGTCGTCGAGGAAAGTCGCGAAAAATCGCAGGCGAACAAATACCGTAAACAAAAACCGAGACACGCGCACAGACCGAATGTTGCGTTGCCCCAAACGCGCCGTGAAGTTGACACACGTGCAGCGGCTGGAAAAATCGACGTTAAGAAACGGATACAGAGTCGGGATTCGCGAACACAATGGGTTCTATATAGGAAACTGGAAAAACGGCAAAAAACAAGGTGAGTCCACGATTTAAGGGCGGATGATTTCGGCGTCCCCAAGTCAAAAAAAAAAAAATAGCATAGGTATACGTTTTCGAAACGGTTTAAATTCTTTTTAGCCGTCGTTACTCAACGATATTATTTAAATCGATACGTATTTAATATCGCACGACGATTCCGACTTACTTATTTTCGGCACAGTTGAGGTTTTTGTAAAATCCGTCGTTTTGACTGCTTTTTGGCTTATATTCAAAGCAGAATTTTTATTTTTGCCCTCGTCTCGGTCGATGTTTAAAAAAATTCACGGTCTTAAAAAAACTGGTCATATCGTTGATTTACTATAGAAAAAAAAATATATATATATAAATTTATGACGAGACGAGGGCCGAAAACCTACGCACGGCGAATATAATTATTTCATTCCGACTTGAAAATGTTATGTAAAAATCGCCCGAAACATTACGTTTTACGCTAACGAATCGATATAATTATTATTTCCTAGACGAACAGATACCGTCACAATCTAACCTAAATTTTTGTTGTTCAGCAAAGACCAAAGGTAGGTAAGTAATTGTTATTTTACAAAACAGACGACATTCGGTACACTCAAATACGCACTGCGTGCAACCTACTAACGTCATTGACTGAAAATAAGTAAAAAAAAAAAAAAAAACGTCGAAATTCATCACGTTCGTTGAAAATTATATAAAGAATAACGATTTACGGGTGGTAAGGGGGGAGGAAACCACCCAGTAGGGGAAAAACGGACGTTGAAAAAAAAAAAAAAAAACTATATTTATATATACCTATACGCGCCTCGGTACCTATTTTAATTTTCTTTATGCGACGATGGAATGATCCGTAGCAATTAAATACGGTTTAAACTTTTACAATTTACTATAATATTTATACACTTACCAACGCTCACATAATATCCGACATTTTTTTAGATTGTGTAACATTGTATGAATATTACGGTTTTTTTTTTTCGTATAAAAAAATAATGAAATCGCGACACCGACTCGAATCATATAACAATTAATGTTCGAATGAACATTGCCATGCATTTTTCTATATTTTCACGTGTTATATTCGTACGGTTCGTTTACATTTCATCGACATACCGTTTCGTCGACAAACAACCCGGTCTTGTTTTAAGTATTAAAAATCGTTTCATTTTGCCGACGAAAATCGGTTACCAATTTTAAATTGGTAATTATTATTATTGTTGTTGATACTATTATTAAAATACACGGCGATATTTAAACCATTCGTGGTTTTCAACGATTTACATTGTGTACGCATTTTTGCTGGGTGTTACCACTGGGCGATTTCTCCGATTACTCGAAACGTTTTTTTTTTTTTTTTTATTTTCTCCCGTCGCTCATCATACCTATAAGTAGGTTTGGTATCTATTTTCGTATAGATTATAGATATTTCGTTAAATAAAAAAAAAAAAAACGTACATACTTCGCACGATGGTTGGACCACTGTTGTAGATGAGAAATTGTAGGACATAGAGGGGAATACAGTTTAATCTGTACGCAATGTTAAGCCGTTTCCAACAAAAAAAGATTCTGAGTGAAGTTCCTTTCATACATGTAGGTATGTAAATTTTCTGGTTTTTCCTACGTTTTCCAGGTTTTTACCAATTATTATGAAAACCGCTTGCGAAGTAAACGATTAACCTCCTTAAAGTACCAAGAAGATAAAATATATTTTCAGAAAAGTTGCTACACTTGACGCATTTGAACAAGGCTTATGATAGAAAAGTTGATAACAGAAAAAACAAATAAAGAAATTATTGTAAAACTTATTCATTCCTCACTAAGTTCCAAATTAAAAAAAATAAATTTTTCATTCATTCGAATAAAAAGTGCTTCACCAATATATCTATAACAAAAATTCGCTCAGAATCCTATTTTACTATAAATCGTTATAAAATTAATATCTTCATGTTAATACATTCATTTACGAAATAAGCACCACCAATTTTTTTTTTTTCTTAGTTTTTTAACAATTAGTTCTAATTATGGTAACAGTGTTTTTCTCGTGATCGTTTTATAATATTTAATATTAAATAATAAGTTTAACACATTTTATTTGAAATTAGAAAACGATTGAAACTATTTAATCAACTCGGAACGATCGATTATTTTTTGTTAAAATCATTTAAAAATTTACAGAAAGTATTTTAGTTTAATTTTAAATAGAATTGTATTGGAATTTTGATTAAAAATCGAAAAAAAATCACAAATTGGGCACTGTATAAGATGACGTGTATTAATTATTTTTCTCACTGCTGCGGATAAATCGGATGTAGTAGTATTTATTTATTAAAAGTTACAAATATATTATAAAAGAAAAAAATCAGACGAGCCTAAATTGTAACTGGAAAAAAAACTAAAAACTTTAACTTATTTTTCCTCTACAACAATCCCCCATCAACAGAACGGAAACTTTTAAAAGTTTCTTCTTTAATTTCTCGTTAAATAACCTGTGAAATTATTGCATATTTAGTTTGAAATATTATAACGTAGTATTTTATTAGGTACTAAAAAAAGTTACACCGACTCGAAAGAAACAAAAAAAAAAAAAATTATGTTTAATATTTATTTTAATAGTAATATACGAGATGAAAGTACATGTTTTTTTTTTTAAGAATATAAGTTTGAGTCTCAAATATTGAGTTTTTATCACATTTTTGTATATTATGCGAAAAATTAATATATACGGATGCAGTTTCTATATTATATAAATTAGAGTTCCATTTCGTTACTATGGTTATTTGTGGTTTGACTAAAAATCCCATGTTTTAATTTTAGATTCTGAGCGTAGCTTACGCACTGTGTGTTCTACAGGAAATATTAATTTAGTTAAAAAGTACCGAGAGATCTTTTTGTTGAATTTTGAATTTAGTTGCCAAATAGTTTTTTTGATTTTTTTAAGCAGTTTTCATAATATTTTTTTGATAACCCGAAAAATGATAAATTAAACTTGATAAAATTACGATATTATGGCTTTAAAATAAACTGTGTTAATAACTGAGAAAAACCTAAAATTTTAATTTTTGGTTTTAAAATATCAATCTATGATTAGTATCCGATATCATAATTAATGTATTAATTGTATATGATACATTAAAACTTTTATAATTCTATTTTTTACAAAATAGCTATTTTGAAAATTGTGTAAAGTGAATAAATGAAGTTATTATTTTTTTTTATTTTGTATTACTGGGATGAACATTAAAATTTAATTTTTTTCTAAATCGATACTCCGAATCTTCGAAGACAAACCAATTGAAAAAAAGTTGTATCATCATGTATAAATGAACTTTGCATCGTTTTTCGTTACCCATGGTAAATCGTTGCTTACAAATATAATTTAAATTAATTAATTTGTCCTACCTCGCCAACTTCCCACTTAAAAAAGTGACGCACCCGTCCACAGTATTAAATGTTATTTTTCGCATACGTACGCAGGAAATGGAGTAAAATTCTACAATAACTCGATGGCTTACGAGGGTCAATGGGTAGCGAACAAAAGACATGGTTTCGGAATAATGAAGAAGAAAGTCGAGGACTATTTTATATTGGTATTCGAAGGATATTGGATTAACAACCGATATGTAAGTGTATTTACCTGCTTTTACCTAATACGTATTTTCGTAGTAAGTAGGTACGTAGTACGTGTTTTTCGTATATTTACAATCTCCCAAAGGGGGCGGGTAAACGTTAAAAATCATACGGATAGGTGCATCGACATAAAACTATATGGGAGCGAGTTTTTGATCGAGTGACAGATCTATTGTACCCATACTTTTATAAGACGTCGGTCATCCGTTACCCGATTATTTATTCTCAGTTCACGTTTAACTGCGATACGCTATCGTGAAGAAGGTGTTTTAATCTACGGGAGGTGGGTAGAGAATGCCGATCGATAGCTGGTAAAAACTCATATTTAGACTTGTTTTTTTTTTTACAACCGTTTATATATATACAGGATGTCCACGAAGATATACTCGTTGTGATATCTCCGGAGATAATAAATGTAACCATATTCCGGTTTTTTTTTCTTTCAGAAAAAAGAACTGTACAGTCAACTAATCGTAATAATAATTACCAACTAGAAAATGCCTGCTGCATATAATGCCTATGATTATAGGCACTTTTCTCTGAACATTAAAAAATTGTTAAAAATCACGAATTTATTGAAAATAAAAAGTTGATACACGGTGTCACTTCATGAGACACTCTGTATAGTGTACATATATATTTTTATCATTCGATTAACTAATTTTCAAAGCCATGGAATACATATTATTATATCATTAATATCTGTCGGTTGAGTTATTCTGACACTATCATTTTATCCGCCAACACCAACATTTTCATTCTAATGCATCTTTTACCGAAATCACCGTTTTAATTAACACTAATATTAGAATTTGTGCCAACAATATCCCAGAGAAAATCGATTTCCAGCGGCAGTTGCTGGGAAAATTCGATCTGTTTCACCTTGTATAGTGTTTTACTATTTTACTACTATGTTACACTATGCTATTGGCCGATTTGTAAACAGGCCCGGGGCAAGTTGTACGAGGAGGACGGCGTTTACGAAGGTGAATTTTCGACGACCGCCGATGGGAAAAAAAGTGGCTGTGGGATCAAGCGGTGGAACGACGGCGCTGTATACGAAGGTCAATGGCGTGATAACCAGTTCAACGGCCAGGGTTTTTTCACAGAAGGTAAAATTAATAATATTATTGAGTCGATTTATCGGTAGTTTTTGAAGGTTTTTAACCGTTAAGCGTGTGTGCCGCAGTAACGTAATTATTGGTCTACGCGATTAGCTGATTGATCGCTAATCTCATGATCGATACTATCGACGTTTAAAAAATAATATCGATTTTCGATTAACTGGATATTTTGATACTCAATTATGGGATATTAGATAACGATGATAATATTATTATTTTCTGTCCACTAGAATTATCTTACCGTCGTTTCACATCACAATTATATAATATTTGAATTTTTAAATTTTAAATCGTCGCGTAGTTGACGTTTATAGTCTTAATTAGACATATTGGCTGTGATTAATAAATTGTCTTCAAATAATCGAATGCCGATTATTACGAATTCTTACGAGTTATATTACTATACATAAACTACCGTCATTATAAATTAAATTACTATTATTATTATTATTTTGATGACCTAAACGCACTTGCGTAAACAAAAAAAAAAATATTTCTTGACTTTTTGCAGTGTGTTCATAGGCGTAAAAGGCGTAAAATAATGTATTCAGATTTGAACGAATTTCTTTTCGGGTTTAGGGTCTGTAGTTACCAAGATATTGTGAATGTATATTTTCATGAGGACCTTTTCCCAAAGACTTTTTTTTCCACCAATTAATACAATTATTAATACTATTGTGTACTGATTATTTTATTGTAATAATAATAAATACAAAAATATGTATTAGTGTGTGATATAATGGTGTACATTATAATTTATAATATAGTAAAAAAATATTTTTTATAATTGGAATATTAAACGCCTATTTTATTTTGAGTATACAGAGTTTTTTTTTTTTTTTTTTTATTATAAACTAGAAATTCTATTTGAGAATTTTATATGAATTCAATTTCTATTTTTTTCAAACAATGTGTCGTTAAAGCATTATTTTAAAGATGATTTTAAGATATTAACCCAGATTTCGAAAAAAAATACATCTCTAGAAATGTTAATATGCATAACATTAATATCGGATTTACCGTTTATGAGTTATAACCGTTTAAATTTTTGACCTAAAGAGAAAGGAAGATTTATTAATTTATTATTTTTAAATAGGTATGCAATTTATTACTTTTTCTTAATGTTCCGGTCTAAAATTTAAACGGTTATAATTCTTAAACATAAGTATAAGTATTATGCGTATCAAAATATATAGACAACAATTCTCTTCGAATCAGTGTTCAGAAAGGAGAATTTCTATTTTAAAAACAAAAGTGCATACTTATTTCAGGTACATAGAGTAGGAACGATGTGGTCTTATAAATAATCAGCAACACTACTGCGTATTTACGCTTGATTTTTCGTAAAAAAAAAAAAAAAAAATCCTAACTGGTCATTTCCCTGAAATGGATGCGACTTTTTCATTTTCCTCGGGTGTTAAAATGTTAAGATCCGGCCCTGGAGTTGGTGCATAATACAATCGATAACGTATTATAATAATTGTTTGTTTAATGCATTGTTCATCAAAACTTAGATTAACTAAATATTTGGGGTGCTAAAACCGTGTGTATATTACGAATAAAAAATTGTACAGTCTGAATCAATGTAGTGCTTCTACTTTGCTTCCTCACTAGGATGTTTTAGGAAGAATCACATCGGAATATGAATAAAGTCTTTGAAGAATGTATTCAAAACATTCATTTAATATATTATTAAATTTACATGTATTATATAACAAGTAGCCTGTATGTAAAATATTAACTTTAAATTTCGACGGTACACCACACTTTGAACCGCAAACAACTTACGTTTTTGTTGTAAATCCCATCCCTACACAATTCTAATTGTTATTACGCTACTAACGAGTGTGTTGGTCCCACGTAGCCAATGGAAACAATTACGATGGCCAGTGGCGTGCCGGTCTCAAGCACGGCGAAGGCGTCTATATGTTCATGAATAAGGGACTGTCTATGACGGGCATCTGGATCAACGGAGTGCCTAATATGAACATTATGGAACATACAAACTTCGATCAATGGACGGGAAACGGTAGATTGCCAATACCCAAAGTAAGATATTTACAATGTCTTAATTTAACAATATTATTATACCAATAATAACGATTAAATTGTATATTCTTTATAGATACAGCAGGTGGACAGAGAAATTATACAACCGACCTACCAGTTCGAAAAATCTGAAAAACTCAAAAATTTGTAAACTGAACAGATTTTATTATTTTTTTTTTTTTTTATAAAGTTTTGAAACGTACGTTTTTTCACCTTCTATCAGAATTTCACACTTGTTTGAACGTCGGCAGTGAGTGCCCGATTCCTTTGAATTCCGGACCATAATTTTATAATACTTGTGGAGCTGCAATAATATTTCTCTATCCCCAACCATCTTCTAATATGAACGATTTGGAAATTTAATACCGCCAATAATAAGAGCTTCATTTTTATTTCTTCATTTTATGCTCATTAGTTTTACCTGGGAAGTAGCAATTCCCTGCAGTTATATAACCCAACACTATTAACAAAACTCTGCTCAGAATCGTTTTTCGTTAGCAATGATAAATCATTGCGTACAGATATCCATTAAACTCTCCTACTCTACCTTTCAAACTTCTCACCCACAATAGTAGTTCACCCAAGTGCGAAGTATGTGTCCGTTTTTTAGATTATGAGTAGAGCGATGAAGCTTATGGTTTTACAAAGATTTTTTTAATTTTTTTTTTTATCTGTAAACACATTTTCTACCAGAAGATTTTCACGAATTTCTAAGTCTAGTATTTGTTCTAAAAGAAAATCAAAGTGAAGTGGTACTTTAGGGAGGTACTGTACTTTCGATTTTTTAAAAAAGTTTTCTCATCAAATTTGAAAAATCAAAATGAAACGGAAAAATGTACGAAATATATTACTAAAATATTACGATTTTTTTTTTCTGTGTGCAACTTTTCGACCAGTAGTTTTGCTCCGATTTTATAATGATAGCAGATTTTCTAAATGAAAATTTAGCTAAAAAGGTACTTTAAATTGGTCATTTTTTCGAGCAAATGTGAAAAATCAGGATAAAACATGGGAAAACGAGGAAAAACGTAGGAAAACGGGAAAAATCGGTTGGTACAATCGTGTTGTCATTAAACAAATATTATTAAAGAAAATATAAAGAGCCTAAATAATTATTTTACTTTAATATGGCGTATATATATATATATATATATTGTCAGCAAAGCATCTAGTGATGAAACTGAACAACTGAACTCCGCTCAGAATCGTTTTTTCGGAAGCAATGGTTTATTGTTGTTTACAGATATACGTTAAATCACCACTGCACACTATACTTGATATAAACATTTTTTGTTTTTTTTTTTTTTTACGAGAGGGAAACTAAATAAAACATTTAAAAACCATCAAGTATCAAATAATAACTACACACGTATACATTAAAACGAAAAAGGTAAAAATAAAATTAATAATCGATACCGAAGCCCATGTTTGGTTTTCACTGAAAACGAGTCGCACAGAAATTATAAACTGCTGGCCTGGAATTCACAGGAATTGAGCACTAATTAACGACAAAAAATAAATTCGGTATTCAGTTTGGAGTGGGTGGGTTGCGGGGCGACGGTGTGGTTTCGAATATATGTATATATATATAAATAAGTACTCGTAATTTTATCGTCGCGGTTAGTTAGTTAGGTTGGTTTTTTTTCCACTTTGAAATTTCCTGCGTTTTTTCGTCGATGGTATTTTATCAATGTTAGAGAAATTTTACGATTTTGCCAAATAATATATAATTCAAGTACATCAAGGACAACGGCAATATCATACTCGTACACTAAGTACCGTAGATTTAAACTATAGTATTATAATACCGTAGAACTACTATGATCTTATTTCTATAGCAGCCTATTATGCAATTCGGTCCGAAAGACTCCCTCTGTAGTTAATCTTGATAAAGTACTCAACGATTATAAACATTATTTGAGGGAAACGGCAAGCGCATAAATAACACGTATGCTAATGTAAACTTGTTCACGATTCCTGCTTATAAGTTTCACGATGATTTATAATTTTATTATTATACGATATTTGAATTTATATATTTGGTATCTTTTTTCTGTTTTTACATACCTAATATAATATAAATTAAGTTTAACAGTGATATTCGCAATATATTTTATGAAACACGCCAAGTGACTCACTAATGCGTTTTGACATCGTTTTATTTGTTAGGATTTGTGTGCGTGTTCTTTTCATCGTTAGGTTAATGTCAAAAAACAGTGAAATTATGGATCTACTATATTCAGATCATAAACGATTGTACGATTTGCACGCCACACCGAAAATAATATATCCTCAACGTCAAATCAATCACAGAAAACGAAATTTTGAATAATATATTACGTTTTTCAGATACTTACAGCGTAAATAATAAACGTAATACTTATTGTATTTATTTCCTATTATATTGTATGGCTTTTCATGTGACCAAACCCTGCAAAACACGCGTGCGTCGAGACGAACAGTTTCATGTCTGTTTCGGACTGTTATATTTCGTAAATTACGTTTTTTTTTTCTCTTTTTGTTTTCGGGTTTCAGTTGTACTCGTGTGTTTTTGTGCAGTGTGGTAAGTGGGAGGTGCTATTTAAAAGGTCCTGCATAAATATTATTATTAACCTACTCGACGACGATTTTGCTTCGTATACGCCACCGCAGGATTTCACCATTATTAAATATTCTGGTTTTATCAAACGTTTATCCCCTCCCATTATTAACTATTTTTTAAAAAAAAAATGATGATTTTTTTTTTTACGTATTATTAATGAACATTTTTGGTCATCGTCACAAATAAAAAAATTGTTCCAATATTAATTCACTTGTATAGAAAACGTGGGTCGTGAAAATTTCTCGTTAGCCAACTGTACCCAGGTAAATTATAAAATCAGTAGCCATAGAATAAGAAAACAGAAGTCATATTTTTGGTTTATCTATGAAATGTTTACCCTTGCCATGAATTATGTGATGTAATAGAAACAATTTCTAATCAATTCCAAATATATTGTGTATCCCATGATTCGTGGAACAAAACATTATTTCATGGATTAATCAATCAAATTTGTCCTCTATTACGTACATAATAGATTGCAAAATAATGGATATGCCACTCGCTTACTAATAATAACTCATCCGGGTTCCGAAAAAAAAAAGGTTTTATTCCAACAATTATACGTATGTGGTATAATTTGACATTTACTAATATAAAATATTGAAATATACAATAATACTGTGAAATAATACCGAAATTATGAAATAGACTAGTCAGTTTAGTGATGTAGATGTCTGTAAGAAATTACTTATAAATATAGTTTGAGTATTTTGGACATGTTCTGAAAATACCACTTGTCTTGCCAGATCGAGCAATTGTTTTCTCTTATTTATTTCGATAAAGCAGTTGCGTGTGCGAATGTAATACTCATTATTTTATCGGCTGATGAGTACATGGCGATCGAGTCTTAGATTTACTCCTAGAGTTGGTTATTTGTGGCTTAAAGTCTATTCAAAGGCGGTTTTTATATTTTCACTTACTAAATTATGCTAACATTTTGCTACTTTTGAAAACATTTCTGAGGGACTTATTTTCGCACCGAATCCGTATACGCCCCAAAGGAAATGGCATATATTTTAATCGCCTCTCCCCGGCTCGCCGGACTTAGCCTGCCATCACGGTAAAACACAACAACAATATTATAATACCATAAAATACGTACGCGTCGCCTCCCCCCGAAATCCCTTTATATATACTGCAAGTACGTAAATTCGATGCCGCCGGCATCGTATAGTATAATCCCTCACAGTCGTGTACTTATTGTTTACGACCAAATTAGTTTAAATGTATTATGCTATGTGTGTATTGCGTCACGTTCATCTCGTTCCCCTGGCCACCATGCCCCCACCCCCCTCCCACCATTTGAAATTGCATTTTTTTTTTCATTAAAATTTGTAGCATATAACTAAAATGCGTTTGTATTAACATTGTTAAACTCCCCACTATCCCCCAGATTTATAATTAATTATAATTATAATTATATAAAAAAAAAAAAAAAATCAAAAATGATGAAACCGTGTACTTTCCGACCATAAAAAATGGGATTGATGTATCTTAAAACCCCAAAAAATGCAATATTAGAAGGCAATAGTTCAAGATTTTACTGAGGAATGTATTGTTGGTAGTTATAACTCTAAGGAAACTTTAGATGCGCGAGGTGATGACCACGAAGATGATTATGATAACATTAAATTATAGTACAAATTTAAATGTTATCGTTATGTATTTTGTTGTTACGTTGAAGAAAATACAAAACGAAATATTAATATTCCTTGATTATGGAAATATATAATATTTTTTTGATAATAAACAACGTTTGTTGTGTGGCTGTTTTATCAAAATAAAATTAACGTATACATATTTACTAGGTATATAATGATGTATAATAACGGTGTTAACAATATCATTTTTAAGTTTTTATTTAACGTTTTTATACTCTTACGTTAGGTTTTATTACAGTTGAGACGAAAAAGAAATAAGGCTTCAACCCGCAAAAAACGTCCCTGCCACGCACATCCTGCAGTGTTATATACACGTTCAGCGTCTGGATTTATCGTTTTATGTCAAGCTGAAAAAAAAAAAATAACGAGTTTTCTGACGTACCTACGTCGGAGGACCGTGCAAGTTTGGAATAATATATATTTCCAATTAGATTCAAATTGCACTACAAATAAGTTGGTAAAATTTAATTTTGTTGCACGTCGACGCGTGAGCATCGCGTATATTTATTCCGAGAAGTCTCGCAGCATCACGTAGACGCGTAATGTATAATATAGTGACGAAATGAAACGGTTGGGTCATTCAACCGACGACGAAGAGTATTACGGTTTTGCAAAACGGTTTTTAACGCATGCAAAGGCAGTTGTTGTATTAATGTATAACATTGTTGTGCCGGTTTCGTAGTTACCTAATGTTTTCCGAAAATTCCCTGGACAATCTGAAATATATAGGTACCTGCTACTTGCTATTGGTACCGTAAATTAACGAGTTATAATTACACATTATAATATTCTTTTTGCGGTAAAATGTGCGCGGGTAGTGAACGTGGAATTAAAATGATGATTTCCGTCACCGGTCCTGTATAGTCCAATATAAGTATTATTACCAAGTTTCAAGTCACTACGTGTATTTTACAGCAAAGAACTTCTAAAAATTACAATTTCTTAAAAACTCAAAAGTGGTTTAGAAGTTTCGACAATGATACCGTAAGAAAGTAAATCAAAGAGGTAACACGTGGCTTTTCGATTAAATTATTTTTTCTGTTAAAAAACGTGGTCTGTGATTTTATAAAATAATGAAATCGTGTATTTGTACGTTTTCCTACGTTTTTTTCCTTTTAAATGCTTTTATTTAAAAAATAACGCCGAAAAACAAAAATGACCAGTTTAGAGTACAATTCAGAAAACTTGAGCTTTTAGAAAAAGTGCTACACGTAAAAATCAAAGCAAGTTTACTAGGAAAAAACGTTTCCATAGACTGATACAAAGAACGATGAAGAAGAAATAAACATCATTTTAAAACCAATAACTTTGTCGCTACGCTCGGAATCTAAAAAAACAGTTTCTTAACAAATTAATTTTACTGGGAAAAAGTTTTAAAAGTTTTAAAAAGTTTCCGTTTTAACCCGACTGACGAGCGTTTCTATTTATTTCACTGTAAATTTAAACACCCGAACCGGTACACAATATATTGTGTGTGTTGTTGCTGGAGCCGTCACTAAAAACGGGCAGTTAAAACCGACAAGTAAAAAGGCCGGAAAAAAAGAAAATTACAAAACGATAAACTCTATTGCCGAAAGAAGCGTGTACAAAATAAATGGAAATTACATGAAATTAAAAAAAAATAAACGTAAACGCGACTGGAGGGGGTTGGGGAAAGTCGCGGACCGATACCCGACCCTGAATAACAGCCGGGGAGCGGAGCCGGCGGTCGTCCGACGGTGTTTTTACTATTGCGTTCCGTTTTTCTGCTTCGTATTGTTCGTGTTTATTAACCGCGTTCGTTTTTTTTTTTTCCCCGCGGCCCGGTTGTTTTCCCGTGGTTTTCGAACACGAACTTTCGCGACATCCGACAAGCGTCCTCCGGAGCTTTCCAGGAAACCGCCGACGCCGATTGGCCCCGGCAATAAGCGCCGTGGCATCGTTTAATTACGCGCGGAATTAATAACTGTGTACGACACGGACACGCGTGACGGACGGGCCGCAGGAGACGGGTCACGGATGCGCGGGCGTACGTTTAACAATATCGCCGTTTGTCGGCGCGTGAACCGTATTCGCGTTTCCGTCGGCCGGCCGCCGATCGCGGAGGGCCCGGGAGCGTGGCGAATTCCTCGCCGATAAAACTCGTCGGAGTGCCGCGGCCGCCGTCGGTTTTCAATCGTCCGCTGTTTTTAATTCGACACGATTATTCACCGCGCGCGGCGTTAATAGCGTTAAAAAAAAAAAAAATAAAAAAATAAAAAAAAAAACACAGCCTTTCGTCACGGTTCCGGCTCCGTCGCCGCCCCTTCGGTCGATTAATCATTTCGCGCGAATCGTCGTCGGGGTTATTATACGCACTCGCACGAGACCGTCCTCGTCGTCGTCGTGCCCGCAGACGGTGTAAATAAAAACGACGACGGCGGTGACGTTGCCGCGAACTCGGGCCCCACGGACGCAAGTATACCGGGGGGAGAGGGGGGGGAAATTACAGAAAAGAAAAAAAATACTTTTCTCCGGTAGGCACGGCCGTCTAAACTGCTGAGAGACGTTTTCGGCGGCGACGACGACGACGACGATGCCGCCGCCGAGATTACCGACTAATTTCGTCGACACGTTGACGAAATCTCGACGGCCCTTTTGCGATTTGTTCCGGTTTTTATTTTCCTTTTTACATTTTAATCGGTTATCACGCGCTGCCGCCGCGACCGGACATTTTAATTGAATTCCTTTTCGGCCGGCAGACACTTAAAACGCTCGACTGCAGCGTCGACCAACAATCCGT